TAAATAAATAAATAAATAAAAGTGCAGTATAAATGTTGAAAGTGAAAACCTTCCAGGATGACAGGAGGAATATCCTGAACAGGTGGACTCACCTTGTTCATGACCTTCTGCTGCTGCGTGTGGTTCTGTCTGAGCGACACCACCTCCCTCCACAGAACCTCATTCTGCCTGTGAGTGAGCAACGACACGGCTTTAAGGAGCTTCTCCCGTTAAAATCCATGTTATTTACATTAAGTCTGGTGTCAGAGTTCACACACAGTGAGCAAAGAGACGGAGGATCAGAAACACAAGGTGAAGAGTGTGGTGACAGGATTCATCAAATAAACTTTATTTATAAAACATTCTCTGTCCGACACTCAACAGTTTCTAAAAACTTCTTCATCTGTCTTACAACCTGCTTCTGTTCTGCTCATTTTAGCTTCTGTTCTGTTTATTTTAGCTTCTGTTCTGTTTATTTTAGCTTCTGTTCTGCTCATTTTAGCTTCTGTTCTGCTCATTTTAGCTTCTGTTCTGTTTATTTTAGCTTCTGTTCTGTTTATTTTAGCTTCTGTTCTGCTCATTTTAGCTTCTGTTCTGCTTTTTTTAGCTTCAGAATGAGGATTGTCACATTTTTGACCGACTAAATTAGGACTGATGATGAAGTCTTTTGATGGAAGTACATAAATGTGTGTGTGTGTGTATTTATACTTGTTTATGCTACAGAGTGAGGACCTTCCTTCACATGTTGTTGACCAACAAAGCGAGGACATTTTCCTGATCCTTACATTTTTTGCAGGTACAACAGCAACTACAGGTGTTGTGAGGTCAGGACCAGTCCACCCAGTGTGGACTGGTGTGGAAAAATAATCCAGCCTGGAAGATGATCTCTCAGGTGCGACTGCAGCATCCAGGGTGGACTTAGTGCAAAAACTGAACTCTACTGGTTAGGTTAGAGGAATGGTGTGGGACGTGGTTAGTGTTAGGAACGGACCAGTAATGGTTATAGTTGGGAAACATGTCTGGGTTATAGGCATAAATACAAGTACAAAAATGAATGGAAGTCAGTCCAAAGTCTTCTGATGGAAGTGTGTGTGTGCCCTTGTTTTTGCTACTTGGTGGGGACGATTTTTCAGGAAAATGCAGCCTTGTGGGGACCGGATGCTCCTTGTAGGGACCAAAGCCCGTTGGGGGGGTTGGGTTTCAGGACCAAGGTGTGAATAGAGTTTAGGTTAATTTTAGGGTAAATGGTCAGGGTTAGGATTTAAAATTTCCAAAAAATGGATGGAAGTCAGTGGAATGTCCCCACAAGAATAGAGAGACATAGTTGTGTGTGTGTATGCGTGACTGTGTGTGTGTGTGTGTGTGTGTGTCAGGTGACCAGGTGAACGTTCTCTCCTCACAGTAGAAAACAATAAGCAGTACAAAGCAGCTCCGTCACATAATGAAAACACAGCAGCTGTTTTCAGAAACAACGGTCCCCAGAGAAAAACGAAAAAAAAAAAACCATTCGTCCTCTGAGTTTGTTCCAACTCATTCAGAACCAGAACCAGAACCAGAACCAGTGACCCGGTTAGATGATTGTGTCAACATTTTGGACAAATGAAGGTTTTAATAGCTGAGCCAATAAACAATCTGAGTTCCTAACAAAAATTGCAAATCTGGATCTCCTAAAGAATCTAAAGACATCAGTGGAGGACATGTCCCACACATGGACAGTGTGTGTACTCACTGCTTCATGTCCTGCATCTGACACTCCATGTTGTCCTGTTGTGTCCTGAGGAGTTGGACTTCATACAGCAGCTTGCTGAGGTCCTCCTGACGAACTTTGGTCTCCTCACTCTTCACGATGGACACCTGGAGACACAGAAAGAGCCTGAAACCAGGAGCTGAAATTCACCCACCCGTCCAGCTCGGCACGGTGGAGCGGCGGTTAGAGCTGTTGCCTCACAATGACAGTGTTGCAGGTTTGCTTCTCGTTTTTTAGTGTGACATGTTCTCCTTGTGCACTCGTGTTTTTTTTTCCTTCCACACATCAAAAACACGTTAGGTTCATCTGTGACTCCAAGTTATGTCTAGGTGTGAGTGAATAGTCTCGTTTGTCTCTGTATGCCTCTGGATGGACATGTCCAGGGTGTCCTCCACCCTGGACATGTCCAGGGTGTCCTCCACCTCTCACAGTGCCTGCTGGACATGGGAACCAGCTCTCTGTGACCAAACAAAAAGCCGGCAAAGAAAGTGGATGGATTTGTGACGTCTACAAGTTTAATCTAATCCAGTCAGAAACCTGCTGTTGAACTCCAGCAGACAGTTTGTGTTTGACGTTTTCGGGACATTTGGTGGTTTCAGAGTCAGCTCGTGTCCTCACCTTCCTCTTGATGTGTTCCAGCATGTGTTCGTGTCCCTGCAGGAAGTAAAGATGCTGGAACTCCGTGTCGTCTCTCTCCGGCTTCACCAGACCGCTTTGCTCGATGTTCACCACTTTGCGGAAACCGTCTGTGGGAGCAGAGCGAGAAGGGTCAGTCAGAGGAGGAAGAGAGGACCTGCAGAGAAGGACTGGATGAATACTCACACATGTTGAGCTGACGAACGAAGCTCGCCATGTTGTTGTGCTTGAAGTACTTCGGCAGAACCTCCTTGGCGAAGCGTCCCTGATCGAAGACGTGAAAACTGGTCCCGGTCTGAGGGAGAGAGGACAGTACTGGGGTTTACTGTTGTCATGTGACCATTAGAGAACCCTGATCCAAGCCCAGAATCCTGATCCAAGCTCAAAACATCACAGAATCCTGATCCAAGCCCAAAACATCCCAGAACCCCGATCCAAGCCTAAAACATCACAGAATCCTGATCCTAGCCTAGAACCATGATCCAAGCCCAGAATCCTGATCCAAACCCAAAACATCACAGAATCCTGATCCAAGCCCAAAACATCCCAGAACCCCGATCCAAGCCTAAAACATCACAGAATCCTGATCCTAGCCTAGAACCATGATCCAAGCCCAGAATCCTGATCCAAACCCAAAACATCACAGAATCCTGATCCAAGCCCAGAACCCTGATTCAAGCATGGAACCCTGATCCAAGCCCAAAACATCACAGAATCCTGATCCAAGCCTAGAACCATGATCCAAGCCCAGAATCCCGATTCAAGCATGGAACCCTGATCTAAGCCCAGAACCCTGATTCAAGCTCAAAACATCCCAGAACCCTGATTCAAGCCTAGAACCCTGATCCAAGCCCAAAACATCACAGAATCCTGATCCAAGCCTAGAACCATGATTCAAGCCCAAAAC